TATGAACTATTTCATGAGGTTTCAGTCCTTGCAAGTAGCAGATCATCATTGAAACTCTCATCAACACTGCAATAAAAAGATAAGTCAGGGCAGGAAAGGCAACTCAGTAGGCAAAATGGCTACAGTCCAACATGAAGATCTGAACTAGAAACCTAGAACCCATGAAAGTTAGCTATGGTGGGTGATGTCTTTGTACTCAGAGTGCTGGAGAGGTGGATACAGGTAGATCCCTGGGGCTTGCTGGCTGGCCTACCTGGATTGATGAGCCTCAAGCTCCTGAGTAAACAGAGCCCTGGAGATGAAATAAATTAATAAAAACAATGTTTCAATAGGAGTGAATCATTAGGCAAGCCCTGTGCCTCAAACTCAAAGTGCACAGAAAGATGCGTGAGCTTGTTCTCTGCCCTCCACATAATCACTGTGTGTGTGCCCGCACGCGCGCGCTCGCGAGGGCACACACACACACACACACACACACACACACACACACACACACACACACATACACACTCATACACATACATGCAAAACCAGAAAATCCAGGTATGTCTATTAATGCTTAAACAACAATCTATCATCCAAACCAGTGTCGCTTATACTCAAACTCTAATAAGAAAATTTATCCTTCTACTTATATATTCCACTCCATTCTAAAATAATGTGGACTCATTGGTATAATTCATAGAGTCCCAGGTATACATGGGCTCCTGCCTTACACAATCCTCAAGATGATCTCTCCCCTTTCTTTTCTGCCACACTTCTCTGGATTCACAAAAAGATGAGGGCTCTCTCTAAGTACATTTCATGTCTATAGCAGAGAACTCACACTATTCATTTAATGTGGTATTAAATATTATCCTATAAGACTAAAGTGCTTGGTTATATGTTTTGTGGGTATGGGCATTGAATTCATTCATCCCTGTAAATACTGTATTCTTTCCTCAACATACCCACAATCTCCTTGAGGGCAGAAATTGTTGTGACGAAACACCTGTGCCCCCTCTACGATCACAGCACCGTGCCGGGCAGGTAATGAATTCCCCATAAAAGTAAACGCGCTGTGTCTTGAAAAGAAGCAATCAAGCAAACTCCTTTACAAAACATCGATTTACAAATTACAGAGCAACAGCAAAGGGAAACTGAAGACTATCTGCCATAATTAATGGAAACCTAAGTGGGGTGAGTAACAAAATATTGTGTCCATCATTTTATCTGCCAGCTAATCAACTTATAAACATCTATGATGAAAACACATTGGCAATAGTTAGATACATCTTCATGTTGATGCTGTTGTGACTTCCCAGACTTGTTCCCTCAGAGCTTTCCTTTCTACTTTTTCTACAATGGTTCTAGGCATTATTACGTTAGCAGTAAGAAATTAACAAAAATTAGTTAATATTATTCCACTAATCATCCGATAATCCACTTTGTTAAAGTGATCCATGCTTTAACCTCTGAGTTGTCAAAAGTTTTAAAATCGGTTTTGAATGGAATTCTGAGTTTGAACTCCTAATCCATTAATTATTATCTGTATGATCTCTTCACATTATTCACTTACCAAATCCCTAAATTTCTTCATCTGGAAAATTAAGAAGTAGTGGATACTACTTCAACAGGCCATGGTGATAAATTAGTTACTCTTAAGCGTAACTTGCATTTCATAAACACAAACACGGTTGCTATTGTTCTGCTGTCAATGTGCTTTGTATGTAATATGAAAGACAACTCAATTCTATATATGTCTACAATGTTCTTTATACTACATTTAAAACAGCCCAGGTGCTCATGGAAATAGGCTGCATAGATATAGAATGTCTTGTTGCATTATAGCAAGCATACTCTATTCCGTTTCATAGCTTAATACCAAGAAGTAGAAACACTACGCACCTTATACAAATGGTTTTAATAACCCAATTTAGAGATCTTAAAATAAATCATGCTGAGTACACTGTCAGCTTAGGTTGACTTAAAACGATAAAGAAACAGCTTTGTCAATCAAAGATAATCAGTTAGCACCCTAACATAACAAGAAGCACTAGAATTTCTCTCAAGGAACTCTCACCATAGGCTACCTGGGGTGAAAACTCAAATCCTTAGACAGAAGTTAGCATGAGGTTAGCCACAGTCAATGAAGTTAAGCTGTTCAGCATTATAAATGAAATAGAACATAAGAGAGAAGTTCATAAATGATATATTCAGAAGTCAATCAGAGCAAAATGGCTTCTTATAAAAGAAGAGCTAAGTCTGGTATAGTGGCTTATGCCTGCAACCCTAGGACATGGGATATTGAGGAGGAGGATTGTTGTGAGTTTGGGGACTCTCTGGGCTACTTGGTGTGTTCTAGGTCTGCTTGGACTCTCAGAAGAGTGGGTCTTCTGGTTTTGCATTATCTCCGATCCCCTTACACTCAGACAGAGTGCCTACCTACCCTACTCACTCTCTTCCAGGCATGACTATCTTTTTGCCAGTCTTCAAACACACCATTAAGTTCTGAGTTCACACTCTAGCCACTTCATTTCCTTTAATAAGTACTCATGTTCCATGGTTTCCACTGGGCTCACTTTTTCATTCTCTTGAGTTGATATCTAAATTCTTCCAAATAAAAACTTCCACATCAAAAACCCTAATTAATTAATTTTTAAGAGCCTCAGCCTCTCACACATGCCAAATCTAGCCCTCACACACTTCCTAACCTTCTATTCTCGTTATTTATTACAATTGATTGATTGATTGATTTAAACCAGGTCTCACAACAGAACCCAGCAGACTTCAAACTTGTTGTCCTCCTGCTTCAGCCTCTTTAGTGCTAAGATCACTGGGAGGTGTCACAGCTGTTTAAATGATTATCTCCAACTGATAAGCTGTATTTGTTACTAATTGGCTTGCTGTCTGTCTTCACCTTGTAGAATGAAATCTCTAGGAGACATAGGATTTTTCCCTATTTTAGTCACTATAGTATTTTCATCATATGAAAAAATGATTTCAGCAGGCTCTTACTAAATGCCTATAGAATGTATGAGAGAAGGAAAGAATGATAGAATAACCCTTGCAAACAATTTGACAAACCTGAAGGGTCATAGCAGTCTCAGTTAAAATCTAGAATACATCTACAGGCATCATTAACAAAGGCTGAGCTAGTGAATATAAAATTTACTTAAAGTAAAATTCATAATATATGATGGAAGGTGAGGATTTGTCAAAAAAATGATTTTGTGACTAGGGATTTTTATGTAATGTGTATTTAGAGAGCATACTTATAAATCCATTAGCATACACATCTACAGACATATGGAATAAGTAGACCTTTACAAGAAATTCCATAAAGCACCCTGAGCTGTGGTAACTCCCCTGGATATATAAAAAGGAGTATGCTGCGAGAAGTCAAATCATACAATTATATACACCATAAGGTAGCTTAACAAGTAATAGTAATGGTGAATAAAGCTTTTTTTTTCTGCAGATGAAAGCCTGCACGGTTCAATTGTGAGTGAAACGGAGGAGCAGGAATGAATCCTGCTGCAAGCTGACAGTTACATGGAACCCCCTGAAGTTATAAATTGAGTTCTGCTGCTAATTACTGGTCTGAAGGGAACAGGGAAAGACCCACATTTTATTTCTCCTGCTCAACTTGCAACATAAGCACTTGTGAATTCTACATTAGGGTCAAGCTGGGAAGTTCCCAGGTACCCGGGACAGAGAACAGCAGCATCTCCCATGCAAACAAGGTCAGGCAGTCTCTTCTGCCTTGGGTGACTACCAGTGAGATCTCTGTGAAACAGACTCTAAAAGGGATATAGATGCAAAAAAGGAAAGGGTACAGAGCCTATTTGAAATAAAACTTTGTCTATCGATGTGAAGAGTGAATATTTCCAAAAGATCTTGCCATTTTGCAATACAGTTCCTTAAAATGGAATGTCATGGCCAGAGATGATGATGCCAGCTATTCTAACTACTTTCTGAACTACTCATTGTATGACCAATAATGCTACACAGCAGGCAGAGACTTTAATGAAATAGGCCCAGTTCTCCGGGGAGGTGATCCTGTGGTTCAAACTAACGTTTTTGATCAAATAAACACTTTATTCTTCTCAACAAAAAACAAATGCATCTTATGTGGATTCTGACAAAAAGAAAATACACTTGGGAAGAAAATTGACAAGAGAAGGGTGAGTGGGGAACAAAGGACTGTTGTGATGTCACATATAAACCAAGTTTCTGAAAAAGGAAAGTAACTTGAACATTTCTAATGCATATATGCACCCTTTATAATGTCCTGGAACATTCTAGCTCACTTCCTGCCAAAAGCGCAGCCTCATTCAGATTAGAATAATACATTAATGCATTTATTCACAGGACCAACAATTACTGAACACATTCGCTCTGCAAAAAGAATACGTACAAGAACATTCCATTATTATAACCATTTCCATTATTACCAAGTTTCTCTTCTGTCACTTTTTTATTAGCTTAACTGTGTACTATAAATACAATCATAAAAAATAATCTAAAGGAAAGCCAATTCATTAAGATCTGACATTTAACAATTTGGAGAGAGAGAGGCTATCCATGGCAGCCCTGTGTGCAATATTGACCAGTTCTGAGAGTCAGAAAGACTTGCCTGTCTCAATGCTAAGAAACACCTTCAATCCCCTTATATGGAAAGTGCTCTAATTGCATCTATCCACATGGTCGTTGTAGTGATTAAACTAGATTTTTGGCAAGCACCCTTCCATAGGAAGTATTTAACAAACCGTAGCTATTTGGGTTATTTTTTGGGATTCTGACTCACATAATGCCTTCCTTAGTTCCCATGAGCACTTACTGGCAAGACTCCAGAACGTTAATCTTATTTTACCTCTTCAGAAGAATTTATTTTTGTGCTCCTCATCTCCAAAAATATAAACCATTGAATTTTTATGCTGCTGGATGCTTCAACTAATGATGAAGAAAAAATTCCACCTTCCAGGAGTCCTTCCAATAAAATAACCAAGAAATCTTACCTAGTTTTGGCAAAGAATAGGGCACTTTAAAGTAGTCTTCATAAAATTCTATTAATCTCTTTGTAATGTGGAGAGCATAGTCCCCGGATCCTCTTCTGATAGCATCAGGTCTTGCATATAATCGGACCTAATTAAAAATATATATAAAAGTTACTTTAGCCTTTTGGTACTTGAGTTTTATTTTCCCTGCACATATGAATCTGCACAAATCACTTTGGCTAGTATAAAATTAAACAGGGTTCTTGTTTATATATATATATCAAAACACACTGTGGAGAAAGAGCCAAATTTAAACAATCGACGTAGCCAAGTTGAGCAAAGTCACAATTTCCTCACTTTCCAGGATGACATAGAGAAGATTTATACACCTTGCGTCAAAATAAATATTCTAAGTTATCACTTACATGTGCTTGCTAGAGATATGAGGGCATGGTGGATTAGTATAATGGATCCCTGGCTCAGCAAGAGAGAAAACTCATGGTCTGTTAAGACATGCTGCATCAAGGTTTGGAAGAATTACCAAATTGGAAAAAAATATATGTTTGCATGCACGTGTGTGTGTGTGTGTGTGTGTGTGTGTATCTTACTTATGCTTCCTTTTTCTAATTTTTGTTCTTTTGAAATCAACTGTCTTTATTCCAAATATACAGCATAAGAACAGAAAACTTTTCATGTGCATAAGCAACTACCACTCTGGAAGGCTCTCTGCACCTGTTCCTAGATTCAAAACTAGCTGATGTAATTCATATTTTTAAGACAATCTGAGCATTTATTATTGATTCTTAAAACAAGCATCATAAATTATCTAGTCCTTGACCAAAATAAAGAAGTCCCAAAGTGAGAAACATAAAACTGAACAAAGCTAACAATCGTATAGAAAAGGTTAAAATGAGATTAGTTTTCATAAAGCTATCCAGCATCTTTCCTTCCAAAGCCTAAATCTGTTTTTCACAGATGTGGTCCCTAATCCTCATACCAATTCTTTGAATAAGAAGTATGCATTTCATGCAGCCGTAGAAAGGATAGCAGCATGGGAGTTGGATTTTAGTCCTACTCTGACACTAACAAAGCTGGGGGATATTGAATAAATCATTTAACCTCTTTGGGTCTTATTTATAAAGTGATGCTGTTGGCCACCAGCTAGTTGCTGAAGTGCTTTTCAATTCTAAAACACATTACTCCCAATTCCATTTTACAAACAAGGGATTCTGTGTCCTTTTTAAATCACTACAAAAAAAAAGTGGTTTACTCAATATACCAAATGGATAGTTTCAACAAGAAAACAAAAAAGCTGTATTCAGTTATAATACAATTAAGTCTCTATTATCCTTGCCTAAGAGAGAAAAAGAGATGTACAGTCAAAAGGTATAGGGTTGATACAAGGAAAATACATTCTGTTTTCATGTTAGGAAGACATGTAATTCAATAAAATATCTGCTAAATTAAATAGCAATTGTTTGCTCAAATTGTAAACTACTTACTCCCTGTCAGCAAAATCAAATGACAAATTTAACTGATAGTCATCAACAGTCTTAACTGGAATGGTGTAACACCAAAAGCGACCAGGACAGGACCATGTACATACAGCAGCAGTAGAACCTGCCACTCTGAGAAGTAGTAATTACCCTGCCATGACATTAACTCTTTGCAAATATGCAATGCCTAATACAAAGTTCTCAAAACAAAATGTCCTCAGAGAGGATGAGTACCCTTTTGATTTAGGAATAAAAGCTCTCCAAAGAGTCTCTTTAACACACGAGAGAATCACTGTACTCATGAACTCACAGAAGGCAAGGTTGCCTGTACAAGATCCAACCAGGCAACATTCCAGAATGGAATGGCAAGGGGTTCATGAGGAGCTATGGACAGATGTGCTATTAAACTTAAAAAAAAAAAGACATGAAATTGCAGGGATAGAGAAATGGGGGTGGATCAGGGAGGAATGTAAGGGAGGAACTGAGGTGAATTCAATCAAAATATGTTATAAGAAGTTCTCAAAAATAATAAAACATTAATAAATTTTGAAACTAAGTAAATAAATGCATGCTAACTTTAAAGGCACTCATAGGCAGAGCTGGCTTACAAGGCAGGGAGGGAAGCAGGATAAAGGGATATAAAGCAAGCAAACAGAGATGGGTGCTGAACACAACCAATGAGAAAGAAGATACAGCCTGTGCCCTGGCAGCATCCACAAGAGACCATTGGTCAGTATCCATTATGCATTAATTCAACCATAAAACCGTCGCTTTGGTACATTTTTTTTTGTACCAGATCCAAAATGAAGCATTTTTCATTTCATACTCAGGAACACATGCTGTCCACCTAACCAAAAGAGCCACAAAACAGAAGACAAAAAGCAATGCATGTGTCATCACCATTCTCAAGGACGTTCTCAGTCATTAGGGGAAGTGAATGACAGGTAGTGATAGGTGCTGTGTGAACAATAAACTACAAGCAGCAGATGGATACTGAGGACAGATGAGGTTTGCAGAAAGTCCATGGTAACTAACTGGTAGATTGATACTAAATCCATAGCAGGGAAACCGCAACACGACATAACAAGGGTCACTGACTTAGCATTTAGGCAGCACAGCTGATTTGGGTAGAAACACAATCATGTCTGTCAATCAACTCTCCCAGTTACTCAAGCATTCTGTAGAGCCAAGCAAGAGAAACACAATTAAATCAATCTGGTTGTCAAGATTTGATGGAAATAATCCAGCTTGAATGCGAAGACAAAATGGACACATGCTTAACCCAACATCTTCATTTTCCAGTGCAGACATTTATTGCATGCCTGCTCTGTGTCAGGCATTGTACTAGGGAATCGAAATAGAACGATAAAACCCCTGCTACAAAATGAACAAGACATTTATACTTACTGCTCTTAAGAGGTTCACAGTGTGTGGAAAACAAACAAATAAATCACCAACAAAAATACAACCCAAGAAATAGAGCACTGCACATTCTGTCTTTCCACTCAACAGACATACAAAGCTAACCCTCTATATCTTATCCCCTCATCTTTTCAAAGACATCATTCCCAAAGCATCCCCTTTATTTCCATATCATCAACTTTTGCTTTCATGGTGTAAACAAATACTCTGCATTCTTTCTCATAATTTTTGTTGCTGTTATTTGTTTTGCTTTATTTTCTTTTCTTCAGACGAGGACTTTCTATGTAGGATTGATGGGCTCTAGCTCCTGATCTTCCTGCCTAAGTCTCCAAAGTGCTGGTATTGTATATATGCGCCACCACAACCAACTTCCTATGCTTGTTTATTTTCTTTTGAATTCTGTATATATCTTCCAGTTAGAATTCTCATAGAAAGAATGTGTGAGTTAACATCTAAGCCAGAACACTTTAAAAAATAAGGGGCATGCCACCACCTGAGATACAACAGGTTTAAGCAAGGCATTGGCTATCTACATTCCCTGTTTATAGTCTCCCTAACACTCAGGAAAACAACAACTTTTGTTCCTACTAGAACTAGAACTGTTCTCAATAGGATCAGTAATAACACATGGTGGCAAATCTAACCTCTAATCCAGTGCTCAACCCATCCACAGAATTTACATTTAGTTGATTAGTTAAGGTCCTTGAAACTGTTTCATCCTTGTTTCAATTCACAGACCTCTTTCGTTCTGTGTTTACACTTGGTCCCTTAGCTATAACATCTAGTTTGGTGGTTTTAAATATGACTTCCAAACGGATGACTTGCCAAATAATTTTGGGCTTCCAGAACCATTAACCAACTGTCCACTTGACATCTGCACTTGGAATCTCAGGCTTCAAATTCGAAAAGTGAACTCCTGCTGATCCGTACACACAGCTGCTCCTCCCCAAACCTTCCTCATCCCAGTTCTTCGCACTTCTATCCAGCTGTCTGTACCCAGCATGTCAGTATTATCCCTGCTTTCCTCTCTCCCTCGCATCCCAGCATATCCTTTTGCCTCTGCCTTAAAGAGACACCTAGAACCCTGAGCTTCTCACTACCCCACTGCTAGCACTCCGGGCCCAGCTATTTCTTTCTTATTGTTCTTGACAGAGTAATCAAAAATCTCTCTGATACATGGGAATCAAATCCTGTTATTCATCTGCTGTTCGCCATCTTTCCATCTCATTCAGGATTACGCCAAAGGTTGGGTTTTTTAGTTTGTTTGTTTGTTTGGCTTTTTGTTTTGTTTTTTAAGACCCAAAAATCATACACACATTTGATTTTTTTTTTTATTTTAGCTCTCTGGCTTTTATTTCTACGGCTTTGCTGCTCCTTATACTAAACTCAAGGCTTTTGAATTCTCCCTTCATATCTCCACAACTCACACCCTCACCATCTTCAGATAGCTGCCCAAGTATTTCATGCTCTGAGAAACCCTCATGCTGCCCTAGTACTACCTAACCCGATCCGCAATTTACTTAGCCTGAGATACTACCATTCAACAAAGCATGTATTTTTATTATCCATGTTACTTCTTTCTACTTTCATTCCATGAATATAACTTGAATGGGGGCAAAGAATTTAGTCTACTCTATTTAACCGTGTGAAAGCATTATGTCTTTAGGTAAAAACATTCTGTATGAAGTGAACCAAAGAATTTAATTTTGCAGGTATATACCGATCCTAAGAAATAGGACCTATGTCTCAGAAGAACACATGTTTTAACTGAAACTTAAAAAAATAAATCTGGGGGGCTGGAGAGATGGCTCAGCGGTTAAGACCACTGGCTGTTCTTCCAGAGGTCCTGAGTTCAATTCCCAGCAGCCACATGATGGTTTATAACCATCTGTAATGATATCTGGTGTTCTCTTCTGGCCTGCAGGTATACATGCAGGCAGAACACTGTATATATAATAAATTAAAAAAAAAGAAAGAAAGAAAAAAAATAAAAAAAAATAAAAAATAAAAAAAATAATAAATAAATAAATCTGGGACATTGGGGAGATGGCTAAACAGTTAAGTGCATTTGCTATTCATACAGAGGACCCAGGTTTGTTTCCCAGCATCCACAGAGAAGCCCACAATCATCTGTAACTGCAGTCCCAGGAATTCCAATGCTTTCTTCTGCCTTCATTAGGTATCAGGAACAGACCTGGTACGCATGCATCCATGCAGAAAAACATTCATA